AGAGGCTGAATGAAGTTCCCCCCTCCTCAAATATGTTCATTCCATGGGAAGGGGACACAACAATGGATTTTAGGGTCCCCTAAAATCTCAATAAGGCAGCCAGTTGTTCTGCTAGGACACCCATAAACAGTATCTAGGTATTGACCTCAACTCCTGAACCCTCCTAAGCACATTTTCAAATCAAGGAGAGACTAATGATTGAGGCAGAGAGCAGACGTTTAGGACACGGCTGCTTATAGTGTGAAAGAGAGAAAGACATTTTCCTCTGTTGATATCAATAAGGCTGAGCTGCTTCATTCTCTTATTTGAAGGAAGGTAAAGGGTGTTTTGAAATGCTACCCCTGCCTTGAGGTGGTACCCACAGGTCTGCTGAGGAGCAGTCACAACCAGACAACTGCTACACCTTAACTGAGAGGGACAAAATGGGTAAAACTATCAACCTGTGCTGTACAGAAGAACTCAGTGTACACCTCACCACTCTCACTGTCTCATTAAATTAAATCAAATCAAATCACCTCTGAGGTTTAGATGGTAGAATTGTGCACAACAGGGATCTGTCTGGGCTTTCAATTCTGCATGAATTGTGGGTAAGAGTAATGTGCCTTTGCAGCTCAGTTTCATTGATGTGTGAGCTAGTATTCATGTCAGGTTTTCTTTAAAGGATACTTGAATGACTATTTTTAGATTTTACTGTGATGTTATTTCATCAGCTACTGCATGCATAATGCATCATCAGCAACAAAAATTTTAATCATAGCATAAATCAGCCAAAAGATGCTACAAGAAATCAAAGTCCAAATTGCTTTGCCTGGGGACTTGAGTAAATTATTTTGATTTTTAATTTCTAAATTCAGAGAGGCTCTGGGGGGCATGCTCCTCAGATGTATAGCTGATTGGTGAATGTGTGTTGCAAGGTTATTCAGGAGCAATGCCAAAACCTGAAACATCATATTTCAATCTGAAAGAGCTTTTACAGGTTTTCCTTAAGAAAAATTGAGACCATGATTTGGGTCTCTCATCTAAATAATTCAGTTAAAGTACAGTTCCTGACCGATGTCCAAACCCACCTGCTGATCATTCACAAATTCCAAAACCAAGGAAGAAGAATCTGCAAAGTAATTTCAGTGTAGTCCCCCAAGATCCAGCAAAGAAATCTTTCACAGGCACAGAAAGCTCACAATGTTCCAGTTTAATTTCCAACAGAAAAGAAAGAGTAATTATCTGGGGCTTTGGCCTGTTATTAATGTGTTAAGGAAATAGAATTCAAATCAGACACCTTACAGAACAGCACAGAGATCTGGTTTTCAGCTGGGCAAGCTTTTTACTCATTGCTGCTGGTTTTGTTGTGGACAATCCATTTAATCTAGCTCAACAGCTTTAAAAGTGGGTTAAATATGTTGTTTGTGGGGTCAGATTTGCAGGGCAGGGCATGTTCCTTTTCCTTGCAGATTACATGGATGTGAGAGCACTGGCCATTTCAGCTAGGAGACATCCAGCTGTTGGTGCAAGCAGGTGTCTGCTCCTTGTTTCACACTCTCAGGGAAGCAGAGGCAGGACCAGTTCAGGTCATGCTCTGTACAGGGACAGCCTGGGCTGGAAAGGAAGTGCTCAAGGATTAGGGAGCCTCTTGCTTCCTAAATAGCTGTGCTAGGTGAGATGGCTGAGCCAGATCTAGGGAGCAGGGTAGCAGCTGGATGTCTCCATCCCAATGGGACAAACCTCAAAGTATCATTTAATTAGAGGGCCATACCTATGACAGCAGGAATATTTTCTCCTGACCTCTGTGACTCTTCTTCACAGTGTTTTATCTTTTGCAGGGAAAATCTTTCTCCTCTACACCTCTGCAATATGGAAGAGCCTTTTGTAATTCTCTGTTTCATGGTTCTATCGCATTTATCTTCAAGTTATCTCTTTCCTTTTATTAGGCCTTTTATTTCTCTTTCCCCCTGGGTTATCCACCTCTGTTTCCATAGTACATAATTGAGCTGCTGAATATTCATTATTAGTCCCTGGAGTCACATAAAGATCTCTAGAGGAGGATAAAACCCTCCCTGGTTGAGTTTTGGTTAGATCAGAGCCAAAATACTAAATGTAACTTAGTATGCAATATCTCCCCTTAGTTCAGAAAGAATTGGAGAGGGAATATTTATCCTTTCGTAAGGGAAAGGAGGGAAGGAAAAAGAGTTGGAGACTGAGAGGGAAGGAGGGAGGAGGAAGAAAGCAGACAGGCAGCCAGCAGGAAGGGGAAAGACTACAGTCCAGCCACTATGATGTGAAATTCCCCTCTGTCCTGAAATCATTGTGTTTACTGAGGGCATTTCATCACTGCTTGGTAATGGTGTCAGAACAAACAGACTTACAAAGCAGCAGGAATAAAAAATTCAAGCAAATAACTTTTTATTCAGTCAAGCAAACCTGCCAGATACCAGCTCCCTTTGCAAGCAGTGGTCTGACAGTGCCAGCAGTGCCTCAGATGGTCCAGCTATTAATGGGAGAGAAGATCATAGGTGAGCTTTGATACATCCCCAGTTTCAGGCATGGCTTCATTCCCTGGGGATCCCAGCCCCACTAGAGTATGGACTGCAGCAAGGCAAGGCTATCCTGTCTGCTCTGCCTGTTCCAGCAGGCTGATTTCCCCTGCCTGGGGAGGGAGGCAGCAGGGGCAGTGGCATTCCCAGGGACAGTGGCATTCCCAGGGGCAGTTCAGGGCATCTGGAGGTGCCATCCTCAGCACGGACTGGTTGGCTCAGCCTTGATGAATGCCCCATCTGACACTGCAGATCAGTATATATAAAGCTGAATGAACACATCAGGAAAACATGTCAGTTTGGAAAAACAAATCAATATCTTTTTCTTCTTAATAAAATTATCTGCATTACAAAAGTATTTGAGCAGTTTTGGATTTATTAGGCAAATGCTATGTTTGACTGTAAGAAAGTACACCTAATGTCCTCATTTAGCATGATTTCAGTTTGACCTTTTTATACTTTGCACTAAGAGAAACATTCTCCAGTGACTGTGGTCAGGACACTAATCTAGATCAATGTCCAGGGACATAATGAGCATTTAAAAGCATGAGCAGGAGAGATGAAAGGCTCTAGCCCTTCTAGGAAGGTAGAAGGACATACTCCTGATGGGATGCAGCTGGACCAAAGTCTCCTCAAGCACCAGGTGAAAATTAACCCGATGTTCCTCTCCACTCTGCACTGCTGTTGCAGTTACACCATTGCAACCTTCTGATATCATTGTCCAGGACATCTGCACAGGCATTTATCCACGGAGGACCTGTGCAACCAGTGTATCACATATGCTACATTCTGTTAAATTCACCATGAGGGTTTGCTCACAGTATCTTACATTTGTACACACGAGTTCCCTTGGTGAACCTTTATGCTGACAAGGGCAGACATGCAGCATTTACATCCTGAGAGGTCATGATGGGATGTATCCCCATGATCATCCCTTTCCACATACCCAAAGCAGCTCCCAGCATCTCAAAGCTGCCTATAATGTTGCAAAAAAATAGAAATCTGGGACACATTGTCAGATTAAAAACAAAAAAGAGATTTGTGTTATAGAAGGCATATAAATTTCAAAGCTGTACCTTATGGGTGATGATCTGGCTGAATGACACTTCCTTTGCTGCTTTAGGGAATTTTATAAAACAATGTATTTTAATGAGTCACTGTAATGACTTGAAACCAAGTTGAAAGAGAAACTTTCTGTAAAAGGCTAGTTTTAATTTGGAACAGGAGGTATTATTCAGAAAGTATCAAATAACTGTTACTCATGCAATGATTCTTTACAAACCTAGTACAAAGATTTTCTTTGGTAACTGCTGTGTTAAATTGAAAATCTAAACCCTGGCACATGATAATCATTGTTATTCTTATATTTTGAATTGAAAAGGAAAATAATTTTCACTCAGATTCTTTACCATGTATGTATATAATCCTTCTTTCAAAACAAAATTAAATCTAATAAATATCCAAAACAAATTTCCTAAAGGTTGACAGTTCCATCCCATGGGCTGGTGCTTTTTGGTTTAAACACTTTTCCTTCATTTCGTTGTTGATTTTTCTTTGGCTGATATCAATGTGAAGCTCACATGTTAAGGAGGCAAACAGTAAAAGAACAAAAACCACAAGTCTTGAAACTTAAAAATTTGAATTATTCACAGCCATCAAATCTGTGCATGAGTTATAATTAGCTCAATTTTTCACCCACATGAAAATTAGTAAAGGCTATGTTTGGCTACTACACATAAGCAGTTATACCTGAATATATTGAGGGAACATAACATACAGCAAGTGCTGGTGCATTGCTAATTTTTTTATTAAATTAATCAAGAAATACAGAAATTCCTCCAAATACTTTGGACAGAAAAGGAGGGTTCTGTCACATTAACTGATCACACAGATGGACCAGATAAGTATTTATTTGCTCATGATAAACACACAAACATGCAGTTCTCAGTGCTGATGTTTCCAAAGGCAACACTGTGGAATTGGATCAGACCTTCTGGGGGGAAGAAAAGAGGAAAAAGAGCAATCTGCAACTCTGACAGAATTTACAAACTTTCTGAACCATAAAATATGTTGCTTCATGTCTGCCACAGAGAAGGTCAGGAGGATATGGAAAGTTTTAGCAAAGGCATAGAAACTCAAGCTCCAGTGAGTTTTAATCATTAAAAGCTATGCATTAACTAATTTATTAGTTAAATCTATAAGTTCAAGTAACAACATGCCAGTCATGTTCCAGTTTGAATAATTTGATCCTGCACAGTTGAAACCCCTTGCCTGGCTTAGTGGACATCACCTGTGGGTCGCTCATTCCTTGGCCCTCTTTTGCTTTCCAGGTTTCCTTTTGCTTCCCTCTCTTTGTTTTGAATTTCTTTCCCCACGCATGGGTTAGCTTGAGTCTTTTTCCATACTGAGTTTCATTTTGTTATTTTCAGCTTGGCTCTGAGTTAGATGATGCTCATGCTGCAAAGCATTGCCAATCTTGTCATACCATCTGTTTCACAAATTAGAGAAGAAGCTCAATCCCTTAATGGAATGAAATAACTGTACTTTGCTCTGGGAGTTTTCTTCATGGGTTCTGTTTTTTGTTCACTTGTTGATAGTTCTGTCCTTTATGGCCCTGTAATTTAAATACCATTCTGTTTTCTGCCATTAAGCCTCCCTGAAAGCTTAATTTTGCCTAAGACTGCTGATGCTCTATGCAATCCAATTTATTTTGCACTTCAAAGCAGAATAGTCTTCATAGTTATTTCTAAAATCTCAAGTAGCAATGAAAACATCATGTTTTATGAGGCAATAACTAGATGGTTCTTCTGCTGTTTTTTAAGGCTGTATCTGCATAGATTTCTCTATCATCACCTAAAACAGTAAAAGGCAATAACTTTATAATTCCTCTTTAGAAATGGTTGTGATTTTTGTTTGAACTGAACCTTACTTGTGTTCTTTTGTGAATCCTATTGCTTCTGCCTTAGATCTGGAGGATTTCAGAAGGGACAGTGAGAATGTGTTCCTCTACCTCTATGGCAAACAAAGGAAAACCAACCTGGAAACGGTGCAAGAGAAAGGTACAGCTACAGGACTGAGGAAGCATTGCTTCTCTTCTGTGCACATATGAGCTTGTTACACTCCATTCTCCTGCTCCTCTCAGCAAACTGGCACTGAAGGTGAGTGCACGTATCTGCAACAACTGGACATGATGAGGATTTTTTGTTTTGCAAAGTCAGTGAGTGTGTATAATACAATTAAAAGTTAAACTTTCTCCTAGTACAGTCCTATGTATGTATGAGAGTGTTGGTTGTTTTGGGTTTTTTTTTTAAATTATTTCTTAATTTCAGTGTTTTCTACTGACTGATCAAACCTGATTTCTTTAGAGGGTGGCATTTTCCTCATCTGAGGAACAAGGAACAGAGAAGAGCTGGTAGAATCTCATTACATGGGCATTTCAGCAAAAGACCCACCAGGAAATTTTCAGGGCCATAAATAAGCAAGAGAATGACTGAGGAAGATTACAGCAGTGGCAGGGGATTCAATAGGAGCTGAACACTTCAACACTTATTTGAAGCTCATATAGCAGCTGTTGACAGATTCTGTTTCAAGCCCTGCTGCAAGCTGCTATTGATGGGGAGAATCACAGGTCTTGCTGTCCTTTTTCTCTGCTAACCAAGTTTATCTTCAGCACTTTAAGCTTTCTTCTTGCAATTAAAATTTTTCTTCTGCTGGACTTGCAAGAGCTGTTCTGGACAAAGACAGTTGTAAGTTGAGTGTTGAAGGCATGAACCACAGCACAAAGCATAGCTAGAAATAAGTGAATAGCAGGGGTCTGTGGTGTGTCTGAAGCACATAAATCATCTGCAGTTACCAGCCCTGTGAAATACCTATGTGAGAACTGCCTCAGCCCATCTCCCTTGGACAGATGTGAATTTCTCTCTTCCCTGGACTGGGCAGTGGAGGAATAGTCAAACAGTTCATACTTCCCTCTTATCTCTTTGCTTCATGAAAACAAAACACAGATTATAAAGTCATGGGAATGGATCAATTTTACAGGAGTCAAACAAATTTAGAGGAGTTAGAATGGCAAGCTATTATGACATCATCTTCCATTGTAAAGCACTGTTATTGTTTCAGATAAAAAGGTGCAAAAAACAGTATTAGAAAATAATAAGTGTCTATTGGGAAGGATTAGACTACAGCTTCAACTTGAGAAATGTTTTTTCAGATTGGATAATTTTTAATAAAATGCTGTAATGGTTTGACATGGAAGAGAATTTTCACAGGAAGAAGAGGGTCAAACCAATCAGTGGCTGGGGTTGGATATTGGCATTTGGACTGACCACTGAAGACTGGACATGCCTCTGAGAACACAAGAGGGTTAAAAGCCAGAACTCCCAGGGGAACTCTCTCTTTGGTTCTGGTCAGAGTGCAGAGCAGACTGTCCCCTGCCCAGCCACGTGGCTGGGTGGAGGAGGGGAAGCCATGCAGGTAGACCGAAGGGTGGAAGGACTGGAACCGGCTCCAGGCTCCCTGTGGATGGAAGGGTGGAGGAAATCTGGGATATTTGCATTCCCTGCCCAGAGTCTCGAGAGAGAGAGAGAGTGAGAGAGAGAAAGAGACAGCGATGGTGCCAGCAGTACACCAGCAGAGGAGGAGGAGGAGGAGGAGAAGGGAGAAGGAGCAGGAGAGGTGAAGGTACCCAGTGGTGGGAGCTGGAAGTCTGGGAAGAGATCCCGAGAGCCGTCTGGGGAATTGGGACTTTTAACCCTTCCTTGGGAAATGAAAGCTGTGTGAAATATTACTCCTCCTTGTTTTGAAAGAGAAGACGACAGTCTGGGACCTGAGATGTTAGACAGAGAAATTTTAGGTGGGAGGAGATGATGGAGTGGCCTTGGCGGGACTTTTCTTGTATAGCCATAGACTGAACCAATTTCTTCTCCAAAAGAGACTGCATTTTAGGGGGATGTATGGTGAGCCAAGAGACCTGCCTCAGTGACTACCAGCACAGAAGTAGAGTGAACAGAGAAGAGTTGAGAAGGGTGTGGTGATGCCCTCTGTCTTCAGAAAGAAGATGATCTCTGTTCTTGAGACCTTCAGCCCCAGGGGAGGAAGAAAATGGGGGGGGGGGGGGAGAACTCTGGTCCCAAAAATGAGAAACTGAACTGTTGTTTTTTCTTTGGTCCTTGGCAAAGCATTCTTGAAAATAAACCCTATGAGAAGTCTGTCCATGCACGATGGTGAGGGCACTGTGACATGGAAAGGAGAGTGTCACACTGGCAGATTTTCTCCGGGTGGCACCATGAGTGACATGGAAACACCAGAGGTGGCAGCTGTGTTTCCTGGGGGTCTTTTGTCCCTTGATGGACTCAGTATTGATTATCTGAAGGGTGGGAACCTGACTGGAGGTCCAAGTTGTGTCTCGCTGTGGTTTGTTGGAACTGGGGGAGAGGAGGAAAGTTTTGGAAGGTTTTCATTTTGGATTTAGTGTGTGTTTTTCTTTCTTTTTCCTTTTATAGTAGTAGTAGTTTAATAAAGTTTTTCCTTTGTTATTAAGCGTGGGCCTGCTCTGCTCTGTTCCTGATCGCATCTCACAGCATTCATTTGGGAAGCTGCGTTTTCATGGGGGGCGCTGGCATTGTGTCAGTGTCAAACCATGACAAATGCATATCCTTCCTCCATCTGATTTCATTTCCTAAGACCTGAAGTCTTCCCTCTCATAGGCAAACTTCTTGTTTCTGTGGTATTTTTGATTGCATAAGGACTACACATATTCACAAGATTGGAGTTATTTTTAATTTTTTATAATCTCTGAGATTAATTATTTATAAGCACTTTTTAGAAATTTTCAAGTTTGGTGTTACTAATTTAATACTAATTTAATCTTTTCTTCCCAAATCCTTTTGATAGTGCATTATTATGCAGCTCAGTTCAATCAATAATGAAGCTTCTTTTTTTCATTCTAATTAGTCATCATATTTTTAATAGCCTACAAAACAAAAATGACAAGTGATTTATTTTTCTAAGCCCACAACCAAAGATTTGGTACATATACTCAAAACCACTCTTTTCCTCTAAAGTGTAAATCAGTCTGTGGCAGTTTGTTATCTGCACAAGACTGGATTGTGACAGATAACATGCAAAGAATTTTGAATTCCTACACTGTCATGTTTTGTTAGCTGAGTAAAATTATTATTATATCATTATACAATGCCATTCATGCTACCTAAAAGCACGAATTTACCTCTTCCCATAGCAGGCTCTGTACTAAGAGAAAATATTTTTTTATTCTGTTCCATAAGTGAAAGTCAGCATGGAGTTCAGTGCTCTAAAAACTCTGCACATTTTGGATTATTTATAGATACTGCCTCATCTTTGAGAGTTTGTTTTTGTTTTTTAATTTTGTTAAAGACCACTAACAAATTTGAAAGTGAGAGAAGAAATTGCCTAAAATACTGAAGGAGCCAGTCAGTCTGCGATTATACCTGTTAACCTTTGCTGTTAAAACAGAACCAGTTCTTGACAATATTACACAAAAAGAGACAAAAGTTGAAAGAGATTCTCACATAGTCTCTAGAAACTTCTAAATTTTTCTAGGCTTTTTTGATTGTTTATATCTGTAGTTGCCCAAATTCCATTGATCCATATTGAAGTTTTTTTACTGTTTATATGCTAACTGGCTTTAAGTGTTTTCTAAAAACAACTCCTCTTTATTGAGAGAGTTTTCATTCCTTTAATGTTTGTTAAGGAAATTCCCGCCAAAAACAAGGATCTATCTTTATATCAAAATAGTGACTTTCAAGGGAAAAAAAAAAATTCAAATTACTGTGAGTTAACATCATCAGGATGGCTGAATTATATGAACAATACAGTTCCATAGAAGCCTGCCACCCCTATCAATTTTTTGATATTAACAGATCAATTTTCAGAGCTTCCTTTCCCTGCTACTCTACCTCCTTGGCAAAGCAGCTAAATGTGCATTCTTACCTCTCAATAGAGGAAATGGCTCAGTTTCCCAGTCCTAGTTTCATTAAAGATATGGTACTGCTTAGGCTGGAATAAAGTTGATATAGGGTTGAGTTTTGGATTTGTGCTGGAAATGGCATTGATAACACAGGGATGTTTTAGTTATTGCTGAGCAGGTCTTACACAGAGCCAAGGCCTTTTCTGCTCCTCAGAAACAAGTGCAAGAGGAGTTGTGAGGGGACACAGCCAGGACAGGTGACCCCCACTGACCACAGGTATATTCCAGGCCATATGCTGCTGTACTCACCATATAAAGCTAGGGAGGAAAATGGATGGGGAGACTTTCAGAGTGATGGTGTTTGTCTTCTCAAGTCACTGTTATGCACAAGGGAGCCTTACTTTCCTAGGGATAGCTGACCCCTGCCTGCCCACGGGAAGCAGTGGATGAATTCCTTGGTTCACTTTACTTGTGCGCTCATCTTTTGCTTTGCCTATTAAACTGTCTTTATCTCAACTCACGAGTCTTCTCGCTTCCACCTTTCCAATTCTGTCCACCATCCAGCATGGGGAGAGATCAGCTGCCTGTGTGGGGCTTAGCTGCTGGCTGGGGTTAAACCATGGCAGAGGTTACATGGCATACACCTTGGCATGTCTGGAGTACTCTTGGGATGCCAGCATGCAAAAGTCTCTGGCAGGCAGTTTGACCAACTGGACAGTTCCATCTAATCTGAGGGATGTAAATTTTAACACTCTACAGGAAATGTGTGAGCACATTTATCCCGTAGCCTTCAAGGAAGGCAGAATAATTGTACTTTTACAGATTCATGAAAGCAAAATACTGTGCTACTTGTCCCAGTCTGTTGTTACATTTTTCAGGGGGGCAAGAAAGAGGAAGGAGGGAGATTGCAGGGATTGCATTGCAGAAATCAATCCCAACAAGAGGTGGTGCTGCACGTCCACTTTAGACTGATGTTCTCTCTTCTGCTAAGTGTTGGTTAGAAGAGAGGGTGGGAGGCACGTGCTATCTCCCTACAATAGTTGTTAAAATCAAACCACTTCTTTACAAGAGCAGTACAGTATTTATTTTCCTTATTGTGGCCAACAGAATTTATTCCCACTCTCACTAGGAGAGATCTGTGCAGCATGAAGTGTGCATCAGCTCATTTTCACTAGAACTTCACATCAGTTACAAATTCAAAATGACCTCTGA